ATCTCTGAAATCCCCAAAATAGTTGAATATCTCGAGGAACTCAAGGTAATGTTTTTTTTTTGTTCCTTTAATTTCTTTTATGTTTTTTATTTGAATCTCATCTCATTCATTGAAATCTAAAATATTCACCAATTCAGTCGTGGGATTGGACGTTTGGTCAAACCCCAGAGTTCACACACGAGTTCGAACAGAGTTTCACATGGGGTCATATGGTAATTTAAGACATGTTGCTTTAATTTATATATTTTCATAACGGGCATTGACCAATCGTCGTGCGCAGAAAGCGTTCATCAAATCTAGAGATGGAATTATAACCGCGGTTACGTTAACTCCTTCAAATATTGAATATGAAAACTTATCGGCCATACTCGAAGACTCTTTGGAGGGTACGTTGTTTGACTTTTTTCACTTAGGTTCATCAATTTTTTAAATTTTTGTACAAACAATTAGGTAACAAGTATGACGACGAAGGAATAACCCAAGCAGTATCCAAATCTCTAGTTGATGTTCAGTTATCAAATACCAGTTCTAATGGTGTCATTACTCCATCGACCTCCTCATTGATCCGTAATCCTCATGAAATACTCATGGATATTGGAAATTGGATTGTAAAGTCCTTATGATTTGGTAAGTTATCATTTCTTTCTAAATTTTATAATACTGGTCAATTTTCACGATGATGTTCAAAGCGACATGTTAGACTTCTGAAGTTTTAACAATTGAAGACAATTCTTAACTGAGTAACTTTGAGCAGTCGCTTTTGCTGCTTGTAGATTTTATTCCATAATTATACTAACAAGGTTCTCTATAATTTACATTGATTAGATGCAAAATTGAAAACTTGCTACTGCAAACTCAATGTTTCTTAAAGATCTTATTATCTAATTAATTTTTTTTTGTTTTATTGTCCTTAATTTTCTCTTTCTTGATAGGAGCAGTAGTTTTAAGTTGTTTAATCTGAGTTGGATAGTAGTTGGTGTACATTTTTGGTTCTGTTGACCTATTAAATCCTTGTTCTTTA